CGCGCGGCCCCGGCGGCACCCCTGGGAGGGCAGCCGAGGAAGCTCCCGGAGACGGCGGCGGCGGCGGCGGCGGAGGAGGCGTGAGGCTGCGGCGGCCGCGGGACCCGATCGGCCTCTCCGCCCCCTCCCAGCCTTTCTTTCGCTCTTTTCGCTCCTACTCCCGGCCGGCGCCTCTGCTTTGTGCGCGGAGATGGTGTAGCCCCCTGGCCGCCCCCAGGAGCCGCCGGCCGCTTGTCTCCCGTCTCCCAGCTGCGTCCCCGCCCCTGGAGGACGGACCCCCTGGACTCGGCGCCTCCCGCGTCTCCCGGCTGCTGGGGAAGCCTCGGCGCCGCCGGCACCATGAGGTGAGGGGCGCGCGGGGCGCTCGGGGCGGGGGCCGGGCCGGCCATTGTGCCGCGGGAGCCGCGACCCCGCTGCCCTCGGACCCCGCCTTCCCGGCCCGGCGCGGCACCCCGGGTCTCCGAGCTTCTTCTCCCCCTCCTCCTTTTGTCCCTTCTAATTTCTTTCTTTCTTTCTTGTAACCCTCCCTAATCCCTCTTATGAGGTGGGTGGGGGGGGAGCGGGGGGAAGGGGGCTCTTTTCGACGGTCTCCCATTTTTTCCTCAAATGCTCGTCTTTCGTCCAGGATTTCCCTTCCTAAATTTAATTTGCGCCTGGCTCCCCCCCCCCCCCCCCCCCCAGCCTTAGCCAGCCAAACCTGGGAGATGGGGAGGGGTTCGAGAGTCGAGGCGTGCGTGTTGCCCGGAAACAGGTCTTTTCTCGTCTATCTGTAAAAATTCCGTGCACTTTTATTACAAAACTTGTGTTTCATTATAAAAAGGAGGAAAAGTTTGAAAGATCGGAAATCTCTGCGGGTAATAAAGTGCTTTGGTAGGTGATGGAGCTCCGAAAGATGAAATTTCCCGATTGGTGGTGGGGGGGGGAAGGGAAAGAATTTACTAGGTTTATATGAGGGGACAGTGAAAGGCTATAAGTAAGTTGCTTGGGGTGTGTAAACGGGGGCGGGGAAGGATTTGTTTGCAAAACCCCTTTCTCTCCTTCGTCTGTAGCAGCCTGTGTTGCATTGCAGCAGCTGCCTTCCCCCTTTCCTCTGTAATCAATAAAACAGCAGCTAAATTATTTTTTCAGCCCCAAAGAATTGAACGTACTGTCGTAATCTATTTTTTTTAATTGCTACGATGAAACATATGGTGTGACATTTTTCTTTTTTGTTTCTCCAATTGTGTAAGAGAATAAACCATGGTGCGGTGTGTCACTCATTGGAGATTTTTTTTCAGCTTTCCTAAGCCTATTTTGTGTCCATAACCTTCTCTTTTCGGATTGGTGCAAGACTTCGTGAGAAATGGGACTTGGTAGACTGAGGGCTGATCCGTTCTGCGTTATCATCCTTATAGGCCTTCTTCCTTTTAGGTTAAACAATTGTGGATAAAGTAAATTACTCCATTTCTGTGTCCTGGAAGAGATAGTCTTACAGTTCATTTGGATTTGAATCTCCTTTGTGTTAAAGATTAATGGCCAACCGTTGCCAAGACCTTTATAATGTGATACAATGAGATTTGAATGATATAATCTACAAATTCCTTCGCTTTGGCAAGAAAATGTCATGTCATTGGAATTCTCAATTTAAGTACTTTCCACTTTAAACTTTAGGGTTTTTTTTTCTATCATAGTTGAATACTTTCTCATTTAAAATTTTTTGTGTGATATAACCATGAACTTCAGTTTACTGTGAATTTGAATGAATGTTTTTTCTCTGATTGCAAGTTACAGAACTTGGTTGTGATGGCCTTAAAAATGATGTTTAATGCTGTGTCTGTAAGTGACCCCTTTTCCCTTCATGATTTCACAAGAGTTACTTTCATCTGTAATGGATAGTGGATCAGTTTAAAATGTGATTATGGCATTCAAACCAAAAAAACATCTTTGTAAAATACGGCTTGAAAAACTCGAGCCATGGGTTTGAGCACGGTATTTTATCAAATTACTAATGTCCTCGAAAACTCAGGAACTATAATTAAATATATGTGATGTTATATTTTGTAATACTATATATTGTTGATTTCGCCTTTAAAGATTTGATGCTATGGGGGTCTTGCAGACTAGAAGTTATGAGTTTTCCCCCCAAACTTTGGGTAAAGGTATCTGAACACTGAGCAATGTAAAACAGTGAAAGTGGGATATATTTAAATAAAATGATCGTAAAGTTTTCTGATTCAGAGGTTGTGAACCAAAAAAAAAAAGTTAACGTTTTGGGTATTCAATGAAGTTTGATCACTCATGTATCGTTGCCAGTCTGTCACAGGTAAATTATGTCTTCACTTAAAAAAGTTCCTTTTCTAATAAAAAGTAACTTGTACTTTGAAAGCTCTTTTTCTGCTCTATTCCTTATTAAATATACGGAGGGAGGAATCACACTGATGCTTTTCAGTGGCATAAATTTAGAGCATGGCACACAGGTTTGAAAAGTTTGTTCAAGCAGTCTACAGTAATTCTTTGTAGGCTAATTTTGAATAATTTAAGAGCAGAAAAGAGGATCAGCTTTTCACTTTGGAAGGCACTGGATTATTTGGTAGGTGGTTTGTACAACTTGTGCGTATACACATGTCCTTAGATACCTGTAAAAGTAGGATGGTCTGATGTGGGGGGTAAAAAAGGTTCTTGTACTCGTCAAAAAGCTTTGGAATATTTGGTGCTTTAAGATAAGGCTTTTCAGGTTATCTTACTATTTGACTTAGTCTCAATGATGCTTTCAAGTGCTGTAGGACATAAATGTTATACTATTGAGTCTGTTTTAGTTATATTCAGTAGTTGCACTGATGTGTTAAAGGCCATCCAGTAATAGGAATGCCTGGGTGGGAATTTCCACTTAAGTTGGTCAGAATTCTGAATAGAGAATATGATGAATATGGTGCTGTTTAAGTATTTGTGCTGAGATCTCTCAGATGACTTTAATTTTAGGAATAGCATGCCTACTGTGATATAACGTAATAATCCCTATATAGAAGGCAACTGAAGTACGTTACTCCTGAAACACTCTTAAAGGCATTCTGTACACGGTAAAAGCAGTATATGGAATTACTTGTTAATACTTTGTTTAAAGATCAGAATTTTTAAAATGTGTATATTATACAAGACAGCAAAAGGGTTGAGCCCCCCAAAACTAGTACTTTTAGTGTAACATCCAACTTTTTGACTCTAATTTTTCATTTATGTATTGTTTCAAAAGTATAAGATGGTTTGTGATTGAGGTAGGTGTGTATATATATGTGTGTGTATATACATATATATATATACATATATATGTAATATTAAAAGAGGGATACCTTTTAAGTGATTGCATTTTTTTACTAAGTGGTTATCAAGGTAAAAAAAAATTTTTTTTTTATCTTTCTTTAAATAGAGGAGCTTGTCTTATCTAAAATAATTGCATGTAGCCTAGTGACTAGGAAGAGCTCAGAAGATTTTCAATTGACATTCTTGGATCCATTAAATAGTCCAGGCTTCCACTCACTACCCTGTGACTTTCTCCTGTAAAAAGGTGTGGTAGGGTTGTGAGGATGCATCCAAGCCACTTACTAGCTGGATGACCTTGAGCTAATCACATTATTTCACTGATTCATCTTTTAAAATAGTAAAAATGGGGATAATTCTTTACTGGGTAGTGAGGGTTGAATGATAATACAATAGAAGGTGCTTCGTATACTTGTAAGCATTACACAATTATGTTTTTCCTCTTGAGCCTTAATTATATAAAATGCGAGGGTAGTTTACTTCACCTTTCTGGGCCAGTTATCTAGTTCAAGAATGGCAGTAGATTACATTTTGCTTATGTACTCCAGTTGGTAGTGGCAGCCAAGTTGATAAGGACATAGATACATCTGGGCCTGCTGGGAAAGAGTGCCATGATTTGACTGGGATACTGGTCCCAGAGAGTGGCAATGGAGAGTATTTTCTGGAATGCTACTTATTTAACCATCTGTGGTCTACCTAGTCTAGCCTTCTTATTGTATTGGCCAGGGAATAGATCATCATGGAAATTGGTCATCATCATTTCCTTTCTTGTGTAGATTGAGTCTTTGAAATACTTCCTGTGATTCTGTTACCTTCATTTCCTGTAGTGATAAAGGTAATATACATTTTAGAGTGTGGTGCAATCAAGGCTCAGAAGATCCAGGTTTATATGCCGAGCAAAGTGGTAAAAATGGAGATAATTCTATTATCATTTCATAGGATTATTTTGTCAAATGAGATAGCTTTGAAAAGATACAAATAGTAGTCTGTTCCCATGGGTCTACATTTATGCTTGTAGCTGTTGGATGTGTTACTTTCCCACAGAGGTTTATTTTAGGGGCAGGAGCCAAATTTGTATTTTTTAAGAATGTCATTGCCTTGTATGTAGGCATTGTTATCCATTGTAGGTGTTTATTAAGTGAATAAATCTTGAATGAGTGTGGATTCATGGAGACAGTTTACTGAAGTTCATACTGTATTCAAGTTTTTGGATGCCTCGTTAGCCCAGTTGGAATAACAAAATAACTAGGTAGACCCTATCTGGCTGGTATAGAAGAAATTACATACCAGACTGATGTTTTTGGTTATTTATTCTAGAAACAGCTGAAATCTGGGGGTGATTGTATACCTTGTAAAACACCAGTCTTTATCATGAGTGTAAGAAGGATTTGGAAAAATGATTTCAATTTTTATGCAGTTGTAGGGAGGAAGAGGATACTTAAACTCCTCCTGTGCCAACTTAAAGTTGCTTTCTTGCCTTTTCTTTCTTTGAAATGGATGGGTGGTATTGAATGGAAATAAATGTTAAAAGAGAATCTGAGCTGAGGCTGTATCTCAGTGGATACTTCCTGAAATACAGGCTCATGAAGTTTTCTGGAATAGAAAGCAAGAAAGGAAAGCTTCTGGCAAGAAATAGTCCCACATTTATCTACCTCCCAGCTATTCTTGTGTGTTCCTGTGCATTCTGCATGTTTTTTTGCTATAGCATTTGTTGCATTGCATTATCATTACCTGGAGCTGTCTGTTTCTCTTCATTGCAAGCTCCTTGAGGGCAGGGACTGCTTTTTTATATTTTACACAGCAGCGTTATTCATGATAGCCCCAAAGTGGAGACGACCCAAATGTCCACAAACGGAGCAGTGGAGAATCAAAATGTGGTATATCCATACATTGGAATGTTTGACCACTAAAAGGAATAAAGTACTGATACATGCCACAACGTGGATGGAAACATGCTAAGTGGAGGAAGTCAGTCACAAAACGCCACCACGTAATTGTTTGATTCCATTGATGTGAAATGTCCAGAGTAGGCGCATCTATAGAGACTGAAAGT